AGATGGACCACAAGAGCACCACATTTCCACGGAGATTCTTTCGGATCTCAAACATGTATAATATTCAGATGTTCAGTGCATCCATTAGCGTATTAGCGATAGTGTGCCTTCCATAAACAGATGCAGTAGGACAGAACTAATAAGTGGAAATGTGGTCTGGGTATTGGATGCCAGGGAGAAAACTGAACCGGATAGCTGCTGAAAGTGATGCAGTGGCTTAGAGCAGCATGTGGGGAAACTTACTAGAAGAATGCTGCGGAAGAGCTGAGCAGAACTCAGAGCCCTAGTTAAAGTGTATCTAAACCCAAAAACAAAATTGTAGCATAATGCCGTCTACCAGCCCTAAAGGGGTCATGCACACCAAAACAAGTGTACAGACATGCAGTGCGAAATACATTGGACTTTACAGCACCCATGGGCCCCAGCTTCTGCCATTTTCTGTCCACAGGATTGCATGGATTTAAAGCGCTGTTCTAGGGTAACAACAGCAACACTCCTCCTCCATACAGTAAAGTGACTGTTGTCACCCTAGGATAGGAATTGTGTTATTGCCATATTCCTGAGTTTAGATACAATTTAAAGAGGACCTTCACTCAAGAATTGTACTTCCTACTAAAAAACTGGTTTTATTTCATGGACAACCAGCCCCCTACTTCCATTCTCGCCTAGGTGAGAATGACGTGAAGCCTCCTCCTGGGATACCGACGTCACAGCGGCTGAAGGAGGAAGGACCTGGCGTCGTATTGTGTCATCAGGGAGCTGGCTGTAAGAACCAGGAAGAGGCAGCCAGTTCTCCATGACATACAATAGGAAGATTGTGGTGTGGAATAGTATGTGTAGTGGCAGGGCCGGCCTTAGGGGTGTGCGAGCCGTGCGGCCGCACAGGGCGCCATGGCAACAAGGGCGCCGTGCGGCCGTCACAGCTCGTCCTGTGGGCGGCTTCTCTCCCCCTCACCGCTGGCCATCCGATATGACAGCGCTCCCTCGTCCGCCCCCCCACTTCGGGGGGGGGCGCAGGAGGGAGCGCTGCCTGCTGTCAGGATGGCGGAGCGGTGAGGGGGAGAGAAGCCGCGCCCGCAGCTGTCAGGATGGCCGAGCGGGGAGGAGATCGGAGCCGCTGTCATCCTGTCAGTTTCAGGATGACAGCGGCTCTCTGCGTGGCTGAGCGGAGGATCGGTAAATATCAGTGATATTTACCGGTCCTCCGTGTGAGAAGGACAAACACTGGAGTGATCGTCTGATCACTCCAGTGTTTGTAAATAACTGGGGACACATAGCGCTATGTGTCCCCAGTTATGAATGAACAGCATGTGATTTACATCACAGCCTGTTCATTCAAGATTTCACCAATGGGGAGAAGCACTCAGTACAGAGGCTCCTCCCCATTCAGAAACAGCTGATGGTAAATATTTGAATGGGAAGCCTCTGAGAGCTTCCCATCCATTGAGTGCTGAGGCTGTAGAAAAAGAAATTGAGGATTTGGTGTCCTCAATTTCTTTTCTATTTTACAAGGGAAATGTCAGGGGTCTGTTTGGACCCCTAATATTTCCCCGAAACCCCCAACAGTAAAAAATAAATAAATAATACAAAATATGAAAAAAATATAAAAAATTATTTTAAAAAAGTGAAAACTCCCCCCCCCCCCCCACACACAAACGTATTATTAGACAAGTGCGAAGACTAAAAATTCATTTCAGATGAAATGAACGAAAACTAAAAAAGTTTTCATTTGTTTCATCAAACAAAACACATTTATATGCTATTTTGTATTCAGCCATTGGTGTGTTCTGGAGGCAGGGCGCATGACGTCATATATCACCGCACGTGTTGGGCGCCACAATCTTGGTTTGTATCTAGGTATACACCAAGATGGTGGGGCCAATATCGGCGTGTGAGGTCACCTGACGCCACGCATGCATGGCGTCATGTAACGTCATGCTCCCTGTCTCCAAGATGGTGGCACACATAAATAAATGGTGCGGATATTGGAAGAAATGGGTGTGGCCACTGAGGGGCGCTGTAAAGCTTTCTTGCACAGGGCGCCTAAAGGTCTAAGGCCGGCCCTGTGTAGTGGAAGAGTGGTGGGGGAGAAAAGAACGACGCAGGATTCGCCAAGTTAGCATGTTTTTCATGGATAAAAGACCATCAAACCGAGGCGGTATATTGTGAATAAATTTAATGTAAAGTCTGCCTATCATCTATAAGGAAACATAAATACTAATACTGCAGAACGTGATGCAGCTTGCCCTGCCTCATCATGTTCTCTCAGCATGATAAAAGCAATGGCTCTGTTTATATCATTTTCATCTAAAGAAGAGAAAAGGGAAACAAAGAAATACATTCTTTTTGGATATCAACAGCTCTGCTTCAAAAGCAACAGAGCTGAACCTTCCAGGAAAGGTCACTCCATATTCCGTTCTAATAAAGATCCTTGACTGTGTTGTTGAAGTCACATGATCGGTGTTTGATCACACTACGTGTTCTGTTCTAATAAAGTTCTTTGAATGTGTTGAAGTCACATGATCGGTGTATGATCAGCTGACAGGAAGAGCTTGCTTTGCTGACGATATGGTGAGTGTGTTCCCTGCAGGTTGCAGTTCTGTACGGATCATGGTGCCATACAATGGCTGCTTCAGTTAACATTTGTCTGAGGTGTACAGGATGTGATAGTAATATAATTTCTCCATGCTGAGTTGGATTTGTATTGCATAGATGATAACCTGACTGAGTAACATTGCAGTGCTGCAGTACATACAAATTATTCCTGTTCATTTTATTTGCATAAAAAATAAATAAGTGTCCTACAGAACAAACACTTCACCATGCAGCAGTGTACGAACTAGATAATGTGTCAGTGTGTGAATGGACCTTACTGTGTAATAACACTGTCTGTCTGGGTGCTGCCAGGAGGAATGATATGTCTCTGTGCTCTTCAGGCATACACTGTGATGGAAGGTTCTGACCATATGGCAGATCAGCTGTTCCCTGCTCACAAATGTAAATCTATTCCATTGTTAAATACTTGACAATGGCAATATACGTTTTTTTTAAATGTGGTGTAAATCGGCACCAAGAGGGGAATTCTCATCACTTTGGAGATATTTCCTTACTTCCTGTTGTGTCTCCAGAACAGGATGTGAAGGGAGATTTCCCCAATAGGACACAAACTGCAAAAAAAACCTGAAAGGGGTTGTCACCCTTTTCTATTCTATGCAAGAAGAAAGGTTTTCACTTACATACCCTTTAAATATTTTTTATATAGTGTTGTTTCTGGTCATCAGAAGACCTACATGCCATAAAAAAAAATTTAAAAAGCGAGTTCATATACAGTAATACCTTGGTTTAGAAGTAACTTGGTTTGAGAGTGTTTTGCAAGACAAGCAAACATTTCTGAAAAATTTTGCCTTGATATAGAAGCAATGTCTTGCAATAAGAGCAAAATTTTGTAGAAAAGCACCACCGAATAAGGCTGTAGCAGTGCGAGCGATAAGTCTGTTTAACGACAATACAATGTCACATTGGATAGATTCCTTGTTAAGGTTTCACGAAATGAAAAAGATTCCGTTGAGCCAAGAGATAGCAGTGATAGTGAAAGTCATCCTACACAATAATCCTCCTCTCTTATCCCCCTCACACCAGCCACGAAGGTACCTGTAATTGGCTTATTTGTCTTTATATTTTGTATTATATTATAGTACTGTATTGTAATCCTTTTTATATGAATATTTTTGGGTTGTGGAATGAATCATCTGAGTTTCCATTATTTCCTATGGGGAAATTCGCTTTGATATACAATCGCTTTTGATTACAAGCATGCTTCCGGAACCAATTATGCTCGTAAACCAAGGTATTACTGTAACTGCTTGTCCACTATTCGTATGCACTAACGCACCACTTTTCTTCCCTGTGATGGTAATCTGAAATATTTTTTTTATTATTATAACTGAACACGTATTTATTTATTTCCCTTTAGAGGTTCCGTTTCTGCGGTGACTTGGATTGCCCTGATTGGGTTCTGGCAGAGATCAGCACGTTGGCTAAAATAGTTAAGTAGAGAGTTTCAACATTTTCTATATAAAAAGTATAACAGACTTGCCTGGTTAGTTTCTAAAAATACTTTGTTCTTATTAACATATTGGGACAGGTGATATATATTTAAGTTGGGCTGGGCGCAGGAAGGTGATTTTTGCTAGTGCAGTCACATTACTAAAAATTGTCCATATTTATCTGTCAATCTCTATTTATGTAGTCGATTTTTATTAACGATTGGTTGCACATATTTGGAGCATTGCCCTATCATTTGCAAAGAATCTCTTCTACGTGCTACACGTTTCCATTTCTTATGAGTAGCGATGAATAGTTAATCACAAGTGATTAGTGACAAATGATTTTAGTAGTATGATTGCACAACCAGAAATTACTAGAGGTGCACCGAAATGGAAATTTCATAACCGAAACAAAACCGAAAATGTTTTTTATTTTAATTTTTTCAAATATTTTATTTTTTATTTTTTTATAAACTTTTTTTTTTCATTTTTATTTTTTTATTTTTATTCATTTATTAAATATTTTTATTTTTTACTTTTAGGGGCTTTCGGGGAAATATTGGGGGTCTAAGCAGACCTCTGATACTCCCCTTTTAAAATAGAAAAAGAGATTGAGGACACAAAGTCCTCAATCTCCTTTTTCTGCAGCCCCTGCTATAATGAACAGGAATCCTCTATACTGAGTGTTCCTGATCATTGATAACATGGGGACAGAGTATGTTTACTATAACTACAATTATGAATGAATGGGGGTGATGTAGATCACTCCCATTCATTCGTAATTGAGGATATAGTCAACATATCATGTCCTCAATTATTTACAAACACTCAACGATCACTGAGTGTTTGTACCGCTCTCCTTCCTCACAGCTGTCACAGGAGGCTGAGCGAGCAGTGCAGGGAGGAGAGCTCAGCCTCCTGTGACAGCGCTCGCTGTCTCCGCCCACACACAGCTCTGCTGAGACAGGAGGCTGAGCGCTGGGGGGAGGAGAGGCGCCGGCCGCATACTGCGCTCTCCTCCCGCAGCGCTCGGCCGCATGTGACACTTTCTCTTCTCCGCGCTAGGACACAGCGGGGAGGAAAGAAAGCAGGGATGCGCCACTGTATGGGCACAAAAATGGCAGTTTCAGCATTTAGCCAAAAGTGCAATTTTCCGGCCGATATATCGGTGCATCCCTAGTAATTGCCCATGTGTCCCCAACAAAGCTGAATTCCAGCCTTCCCTTCAGTCTTGCACAGTTGTACAGGCTCCTTTCTAGTACTGAATTGCTTACTGTGTTTTCACTGCACACTGTGAGCTTCCCACAGTTTGCATTAGATGTTGCAGTACATCAGAGTCCATTTCATTTACTGGCTGGAGGACATCCAGCATCATCAAGCTCTTTCCTCTACTCTGTCTCTCTGTCCCATCCTTTTCATTCATTGGATTTCATTTCTTTCAGTTGTGGAGCCTCAGCATCGCATGAGGGCATTACCTAGGGCAGTCTGCATGCAAATGCACTATGCATGTTTAAAGTGCTTGCATTTACACATTTACTGATGTCGAAATATCCGTAGAGCATTTAGATATGTAAAATTCTACTTTCATTCTAGTAAATGTAGGCCTGTGCATGCATTTACACATGTTTATATGCACAGACATGTAAATTACTGACCCTGGATGCAGGTTTTTCTTACGGCTCTCAACGCAGCACAGGTTTACAGATCTTTGCTGTGTGCATGGGCCCATAGAAAACAATAGAACCACTCAGATGAAAAAAAAAAACACTGTACTGATACAAACACTATTTTCTTTTTTTTGATGTGCACATGAGCTCTTTCAGTATTCCTTTCGCTCTTTATGACAGTATTTTTCTCACAATTTTTTTCTGTTTTCAGTCCTCTGTTAAGCTAAAGCTGATCTGTGCCCAGGTACTGAAAGAACAACTGGGAGAAGCCATTGATGTAAGTTAAATAGACTCAAGAACATGTTGGTTGTAGCTCATTCAACTATTGTGTTTTTTTGTTTTTTTTAACAGTATGAAAAAATTTTGAAGCTGACATCTGATGCTCGTTTTGGTAAGAAATGTTATGATGTGTATATCTTACGTTAGTACAAATATTTAGTTTCTGGGACTACAGTTACGACAGTACCTGCTACCAACAGACAAGCTGGTCTGGAATTAAATCATCAGTATATAGACCAACCTAGTGAGTCAAAGCACCGCATCCCAACAATTGTAAATGATGCTAAGAAAACCCAAACAGAAAGCACTGGGGACTTTTCAGATGCTACAATGACATCACTTTTAAAAAAATATGAATTTATTGTTAAAGGAGAACTATGGGGTCAAGGCTTTTCCCCATAGTTCTCCTTAGGGTAACGGGAGGACACAAACTAGCGTCCTCCCGTTACCCTAATCTCAGTATACCGTGAGCTACAGCTCGCGGTATACTGAGACGCCGGAGCGGATACCGACATCGATGTCGAGATCCGCCCAGCTGCGTGAGTGACAGCTGGTTCTGCCTATCTAGAGGCAGAGCCAGCTGTACCCGCCCCCTCCCCCGTCCGTTCCGCCAGTCAGCGCTGGCGGATCGGAGCAGGGAGGGGGGAATCCAGCCCCTCCCCTGTCACGGCAGAGAGCCGTGACAGGATCGAGAGGTGAGCTCACCTACCGATCTACTGAGCCGACCTGTGACAGTCTCATTGTCAGAGGTCGGCTAGAACTATGAGGTGAGTGGAAATCACTCACCTCATAGTTCTCCTTTAATATATATAAAGAAATATGTCAAACTGTATCATCAACCTTACAAAGACAACATACATGTCACATACAGGTCAACGATGAACTTCTCTTATTTGCTCCATTTTGGTCTTTGAAATATACATTTGAAAGTGTTTTCTTCCATAAGTGCAAGAAAATTAATTTACAGTCTTACCTGAAACAATGTTATCAGGATGTGTTTTAGGACTACAGACCACCTCCTCTATTGTTATGGAGAAGACGAGGTGAAAGGTGTTCTGTGGCCCTAACACACTTCCTGTACAAGGGTGACATTGCTGCTTCTCCACGGATACACTACAGTAGAGAGCATTGTCGGTCTAAGACAGGAAGTGTGCCACTGGTAGGATCACCAGGTAACGTAAGAGGAAAAAAAATAATCTAAAGGCTGCAGTATATTTAGTTTTAGGGTTTAGATACATTTTAAGCCATATTTTTGATGCTATGTACTACTGTATGCAGTCTCTCTAATGTAGTAATAAATGACAATTTAGGAAATTGTATATACATGTATTTATGTGATGTTTCCCTATATAATTTGTTTTTGCTCTGTCTTATCTCCCTCAGAGTCCGGTGACATTAAAGCAACCATTGCTGTACTTTGTTTTATTCTTTCAAGTGCAGCCAAACACAATGTTAGCAGTGACAATCTGTCAAGTGAGCTTCAGCAACTGGGGCTCCCCAAAGGTGAGAATATGGGAGGAATCCTTTATTGCTAGAACTACCCATTCCTAAACAATTGCTACTGTCGCCTGTGTGGTTTCAGAGCGTTTGCCATGAGAGAAATATGGGGGTGGTCACTCCTCCTGACCTTATTAAAACGCTAGTTGCCTGACTGTCTCTGGCCTTAGTACTGACCAAGTCAGAATTCCTGATCTGCTTACTTGTTCTGAAAAATTGAAGGGGCAGTCCAGATGGCCAGCGCTCTGACGAGGATGTTCATACACCAATTGTTTGTGTGGGCAAAGTGTGAAGGTGGTGTGCAGCTTCCCGATAGTACGGACAGACCAGGGTGTCTGACTCGTGTAATGATAAAAAAGAAAAAGGGAGGGAAGCGCCACGACCAGGGAGACAGATTAATGTGGCCTGGTTGGTTGTTAGGGTGGTTCAACTTGCTTGACGGTGGAGCGAACAGGTGTGGTCCTTCCCGGTTTGAGTGGTGGGAGATCACCGGGAACACAAACGGAGAACGATAGAGAAGTGGCATGTGATGGATGAAAGGTGTGGAGTGTAGAGACTCACCGTTTGGTAAGGGTGGAAGCGATATCATCGGCGAAAATCCAGGGGTCCTGTGTAGTTGGATGAGGCTTAGGAATGCTGATAAGTCTATGAGGAGGAGGGGTCCATCAGGGACCGTGATGTGGTGATGGCTCAGGAGAACAGCCACCGTGCTGGAGTGCGTGTGCCAAAGACTGATGGCAACTGGGGAACCTAATCCTCAATGGGACCAGCCATTTGTGGTGTCATGGGGGAACCTTAGCTGGGGAAAGGGATGTGGAAATGGCAAAATGCTGTTGGACCTCAAGAGGGCAAGGAGGGAGCTGGAGAGTGACAGTGTGTCTGTCGTGAGAGAACACACACCGCAGGGCAGGGAGCAGACCGGCACGGACGGCGTGTGTGTGTGTCCCATGGGCGACAGGAGACAGAGGACACCCGTCACAAAGGTGGAGCGGAGGAAGTTGGGGGAGCGGCAGTACTGCGAGGCTCCGAGCTGGTGCACGGTCTGACGGGTGGTTGGTGGAGCTGGTCTGATCACCAGCGTGCTGTGGGCTTTATAAAGTGAGAGACAAGGGAGGAGTGAGAAAACACCGCTGCTCACGGGCACGGAACCAGCCCGGCACGGAGTGGTTAGTTAATGAAGGCTGGCAGGAGAGGGTGCAGGCAGTTTTGAAGCTACACGCCTCTTTATCAAGCCGGGTGAGCAGCTACTTGTTCTGGGCCAGCTGCTTAGAAAGCTCTGAAATCAGTAGGGCAACTTGACAACCAAGCAACTGATATTTTTTGAGGAGGATCAGTGTTAGGACTGTACTTCTCATTACACATTTCCTTTAAAAGCATTGTTGGCATTTTGGTAATTCATACATGTAGTTTTAAATTCCTTTTAAAATCGGATTCTTTGTGGCTTAAAGGAGAACTATTAGGTGAGTGATTGCACTCATGAGTGTTACACTCCTTCATGTTTAGAGCCGACGTGTGACATTGAAACTATCACAGGTTGGCTCTATTGATCACTCACTTCCCGATCATCTCACTGCAGAGAGTGGTGACTGTCAGTCACCGCTCCCCGCAAAGATTCCCCCCCCCCTCCCTTCTCTGATCCTCCATCGTTGACTGGACGAATGGATGGGGAGGGCACAGCTGGCAAGATCCTGAGCTTTGGGTCATGGGGAGGAGGTTAGTATATGTCCTCCCGTGACCCTAAAGAGAACTATGGGATAAAAAGTTTACCCCATAGTTCTCTTTTAACAAAGAGTTGTAAAACTGTGAAGCATAAGACTCAGAGTACCATGCCTGACCTTCTAACCGACGTGACCCCGTCTTTTATATTTTACCAAAAAATTGGGTAATAATAAATGTTTTATCATTTAATATAGGGGAAACTATACCAAAAAAAGGTATAAAATTAATTTCAGTACAGTGTTGCATGACGGAATAAATGTCAGTTAAAGTACCGCAGCGCTGAATACTGAAAAATGGCCTGGATGGGAAGGGGGTTTAACACCGTGGATGTCAACTGGTTAAAGTATAGTTCCACTTTTGTAGCTAGAAAAAACATCTAAGAAGTAAGAAATATAGTTTTAAAAATTATTTTTGGGTATACTGTGTGAATAGAAAACATATAGTGGGATTTTCTCACATTTGTCTGCAAAAGTGGAAATACACTACAGCTAATACACAGCTAATGAATAATATTAAGCAAATACTACATTAAAGTGACATTAAACCCTCAGATTTTTTAACATAAACCAATACTGTAATGTGTGTCTTACTGTAATCCATGGTTGTTTCCCTTCTCTTTGCTGCTCTGCCTTTTAAATCCTCATGTCTTCTCATGCTTGGGGAGAACTTCCCTTTGCAGCTGAGTGCCTCTTCCTGTAGTGCTGGCTCAGGTTGCAAACCTACACACAGACACCATGTATCCATTCCAGAGACAAGGCAGTCTGCTGCAAAACAGAAGTTCTGCAGAGCATGAGAACAGATACAGATTTAAAAGGAAGAGCAGCAAAGAGAAGGGAAACAACCATGGATTACAGTAAGACACACATTACAGTATTGGTTTATGTTAAAAAAAATCTGAGGGTTTAATGTCACTTTAAGTGCAGCCCAAACTTTTTTATTGGATTTAGATTGTGGGTAAGGATTAGAACCCCTGTCAGGTTTTACTGCTATCCAGAGCTCCATTAGAGAGACATCCACTTACCTTCTGTCCTGCTGACATAGTTTTACCAGACAGGAAATGAGGAGAACTATCCAATAACACAGATATACAAAAAAATAAAAATTGTTGTTTTAAGTAGAGTAGGAAAAAGTTAGAACCCCAGTCTTATTTTTATTTCTGTCTGTGTCGATATTAGAGATTTGATCTCACTTCCTGTCTGGGGAAGTCATCAGGAGAGGAAGTTCCAATCCTTTATCCTTAGGGATGCTGCAGAGGTTGCAGCTGGGACCTGGCTCTGGCGCTCCACCACTGTCCTGAAATCATTAGTCTGTATTGTTTTAGAAAAACTGTCACATGACAATAAACAAAAATGTATCAGTACTCGTACTTGTAAGTACTCGGCAAGTACCAGTACTCGTACTCGCAAAACTGGTATCGGTGCATCCCTTTATATTTATAAAAACAAAATCGTACATTAATACAGAGATGTGCAAATCCCAGGAGCTCCGTGTGCTCCTTACAAATGACAGCGGCCTTCTAACTTTTGAATTTTTCTCTAGCCTAGCCTTGGAGCTCAAAGGTATCAGTACTTGTACTTGTACCGACTACGGTACTTGGTATCTGTGCAACCTTACTTATCCTCTTTATCTAAAAGGGAAGATAGTTTTTGTCTGGATATAAGTTTTTGAAAAATTGAACGTCTGTTTAAATCGGCTAAATACATCAAAACAAAACCAGTTCAAAGTCCTAACGTTTATTTTCCTACAGCCGAAGCAAAAAAACCTGTCCCCTGCCAGCATGCTACAGAGCAGGTCCCTTGATCTCTGTGTGGAAGCAGTGATCTCTGTACAGAGGTTCAGCATGCCCCCTGCTAAGTCAAGAGTCAGAGCTCTCCAATCAGGAGGAAACATGAGCCCTGCTGATTGCAGAGTTATAGGTCTGACTCCGTAGAGATCATGGTGAACCTCTGCAGAGAGACCACTGCTTTCTCACAAAGAGCTAAGGTCATTCTCTGCAGCTGCTGGCAGGGACAGACTATTTTGCTTAAGCTGTAGCTGCTATAGAAAAAAACAAAACTGTAGGAAATTGATCTCCATTTGTTTTTAGGCATCTGACATGTATGAAGCTGAATTAAACTGAAAGTTCAGTTGAGCTTTCAAAGAATTTCAATCAGATGGCACCTCTGTAAAAAAGAAAAAAAAATTATGAAGCAATTACACTTTTTAATATATGATTGCCTGTTTTTAGTTTGGCTCTTTGTATGATTGTTTTATTGCACATTGTTTTAAGCATTTTGATCTAATTTTCCATCGCTTTGTTTTTCAATAGCATGAATATTGGTTCTGAGAATTTTTGCTGGTTAAGAGATGGGAGTATTATCTTACATTAAACAACGTATTACATTTTCAGAACATGCTGTCTCCCTCTGTCGCTCTTATGAAGAAAAGCAGACGGCTTTACAAGAGACCTTGAGGGAGAGTAGCCTGCGCTGTGAGTATATAAGCTGTGCATTTCCATACTCCAGCTCCCTCTTCAGTGACACTAAGGATATGTTCAAAATACAATTTCAGGTTTGGCATAAAATCTGTAATGGGTTTTCCCTGCTCCCTCCTAGCAAGTATTCACCCACCTAAACCTTAGAAGCTGCATATACCCTCTCCCCACTGCCTGACCCTCTGCTCAGCTGGGAGGTGTTTACTTCTGTTTTTATCCAGGTGCCTGTGGTGCAGTGCTCAGAGATAGCTATAGTTTCTCTAGAGATGAATGGAAGAGCCCCCTCAGCAACTTTTGTAGTAAAAATAGTCTTCCATTCCCTATCCTCCTACCTCAAAGTGAGCGTCCCCTTAAAGAAAATATTTTAGCTGTGGAATGCTGACCCTCTGCTCTGATTTTAAGTTCCTGACCTGGTAGGCCTACAAATGATAATATGTAATAGTTGTAAATGTTCTTATGTCTCTGCAGTATCACACTTATCTTCAGCAAGCTGGCGTGTAGACCAGACCCTTAGCTCCAGTGTTCTCCAGGAAGTCAATGAGCCCTTGGTCCACCTCAATCTCCATGTGGCAGATGCTAGATACTCCAGTCCAGTTGCTATAACTGTGTCTTCCAGTAAATTAAGGGTATTACTAACAGGTGAGATCCTGCTACACCTACATAGCCGCTTGTCATATTCAACCACCTTATTAGTAACATGCATTGTAGAAAATGCAAATTGCTGAGCATGCAAAATAAAAAAATCTCCTTGTGTTGAGAATCTGTATAGCATTGTTGCTTTTGTACAATATTTCACGTGTTTCTATGCTGCTAGCGCCTACTAACACCCTAAAGCCCCATTCACACCGCACGATCTGTGAACTTTTGTGAAGTGAAGCATTTGTAAGCGTATTTGCCGCCATTGTCGCACGTCAGCCTATTTTTCACCATGCCTTTTGTGCGCGTTTAACAAGCTTTTGCCCCGCTGCGTTTGGGGTGCCATTAACAGGTAATGATACCGCAAGCGCAGTGCACGTTTTTAACGTGTTACTTGAAGGAGCGTCATAGTGCACGCATTGGCACCCATTCATGCAACACGAAAGTAAGAACGGGAACTTAGTCAGTGTTGTGACCAGTGAGGATAAATTATTACTTCACAGCTGAACTTAAATCTATTATTTGAACAGAAGAACTAAATATAACGTTGTGTATAGTTTTAAGCTCGACCGTCTCTGCCTGGAAGCCGCCATATTTTGTTCAGATAGAAATAAGAACCTAATAACTACATCAGCATTTCAAACAGGTAATTGACAACAGAAGTGCTGCCTACATCAGCCACTAATTTAAAAGTGTTCAGAAAACATTTTACAAAAAATATTTGATGCCATCCAACTTCTTTAGTATGTCAACAAAGGTTTCTTCTATGTTTTCTTAGACTGTGCTGTTCAGATGTGTCCATAACATAGCTATCCATTGTGTTAGTTCTGTCCTACTGCATCTTTTAGATTGTAAGCCCTCACGGGCAGGGCCCTCCTTACCATCTTGTCTTAAATTGTATTGTGACTGTAATGTCTTCCTTATATTGTAAAGCGCTGTGCAAACTATTGGCGCTATATAAATCCTGTATAATAATAATAATCTGTTTATGGAAGGCACACTATCGCTAACGGATGCACTGAACATCTGAAGACCATACATATTTGAGATCCCAAAGAATCTCCATGGAAATGTGGTATTCTCTAGAAATAAACAGCAAACCTGGATACAAATGTAAAGCTTCATAAAATATTTCACATATACTTGTTGTATAGGAGAAACACTTGAAGGAGAACTATGAGGCGAGTGAAAATCACTCAGCCTCATAGTTCGAGCCAAGGTTTGACAATGAAACTGTCAAAGGTCGGCTCAATAGATCGGGAAGTGAGCCAACACATACTGTCGCTCGCTCACTTCTCGATCCTGTCCCTGCAGAGAGCCGTGACTGTCACTCACGGCTCCCTGCAGGGATTCCCTCCCCTGTCCGATCCTCCAGCGGTGACTGGCGGAACAGACGGGGTGGGTACAGCTGGCTTTGCCTCTAGATGGGCAGAGCCAGCTGTCACTCACGCAGCTGGGTGGCTCCAGACAGTAATGTCGGGATCCGTCCCGGCTGCGGCGTCTCGGTATACCACGAGCTGTAGCTCGCGGTATACTGAGCTTTGGGTGACGGGAGGACACTAGTTTGTGTCTTCCCATTACCCTTAGGGGAACTATGGGGAAAAGCCCTGACCCCATAGTTCTCCTTTTAATATTGGTATTTACTATTAGGTCATCAAGTTTGGCTTGTGTTTACATTATACTGTCAAAGATTATTTTATTTTTTTTAAATGGTTGAAATACATTACATATGTGATTTGTGTTTCTAGAATTAAAACAAGCCCTCGAAATGATGAATGCCATCGACTGAAACTGATGACCTTTGTCAGCTCTGCTATCTAGCTGAAGATCTTCATAAGAGACTAAAACATCTTTGATAAATTAGCCTCTTGCTAATGGCAAAAGTAATACGAACTACACCATGTTGTTCTTTACAAGCACTGAGCTCTCCAAACTACTCATGCTCTCAGAAGATTGGCACTCGGGAATTGTGCCGCATTATGGACCAGGCTACATGCAACCGACTGGACAAGTTAACGTGACTCTGCAATGTTGTGACATCTAAGAAAAAGAAATCAAATTGATTCATCAGTGTTCAGCTTGAGACTTTTGAATTTCTGGCACTTGTAGTTTCAGTGTTATGTCTAAGTAAGAGAAAGCAGATTTTTATTTCCAGCACCTCCATGTTACAAAGCGTAAATGGTAATTTTCTATGTTGTGTTTCAGAGTTTCCCCTGATTGTTGTTGGCATGGATAGATTGCCAGTAAATATTAAAACACTGCTTTGCTATAAGAGCTACTTATGTATGTTAGATGCTTGATCTATATCTATAAACCTTGAGTTGGTAGATACATTTAAGCACTGCATTTTATACCTGTGAGAATATCAAATCTAAACAGTGCAAATGGTACATGACAACAAGAGCTGTTGGCAATGTGCAACTCCAGCAATGCCTGCTGCCCCTTTATTGGCTAAGCAAATAGTAACTCTCTCTTGTATATCCAAAGGTATGCCTTCTGCCCTTTAAGGCAATGCCTAGGTCATCTGTAGAGTTACTAGGGCCTTGGGAATTGTGATGTGGGATAGTAGAAAGAACTATATCTTCCCTGTCAGAAAGTTAGGGCGCTGTAAGTGACAATGTAGGAGCACATCAAAAGCTTTATTCTGTCAGCTTCTAGTTGGCGTGCTTGGATTATATTGTCAACTTTGTTTTAACTGCTGTTTGAACTCCAGTGAACCTAGTGCAGGTCATCTGCTGTTTGGGAGCCTAATAGGAATGGGAGCCTAATAGGAATACAAAGCCCAGTATCGAAACACATTCCTGTAATGTACCTTCTGAGTTTTAGGTAGAAGTTAAAGCACCTAACATTTTTTTTCATATCTCTTGAGGACTCTTTGTGAGATACCTGTACTTCAGTTCTTGGTTTCATCTGCTCTAGCCATTATGAGGGAATAACACTTTTCCTCCTGTATTTTTTTTATTTTCTGTTATGGCAAATGAAACAAGACGTTCTGCATCACATAAAGATGGATGGAGACACCCAAATCTCCCAGTTGACCAAAAACAGAATCATAAACTATGGCAGGGAGAGCTCAATTTAGAAATATCCAAGACATATAAAAAGACAAGCCCACAGCTATCACTTTATGGTGAAGAAGCTGAGTGGCTTTCCCTGTGCTGTGAAAAAATGGGGTCCTTTGTGCAGCACAATGGCCATTTAGAGGACGTCTAGTATTTTACTCCATGAATATTAGGCATTCTATGATTGCACTGATGTCACATCACCACCCATCATCCAATCAGAAAACACTTAGTATTCACTGAGTAAAATACTAGTCGTCCTCTGAGTGGCCGCTGTGTTTAACAGCAGAGGGGAAGTCGTTCAACAGAAAAGATGGTGTGATACGCTGTTGTAGCTGCGGCTGCTACATTGTATTACAGGATCCCCGTGGCCCTGCCAGGGATCATTTATATATACTTACATTAAAATTGTAGTTCAGCTTTAATGATTGCAAATAAGAAATGATCATTGTTAGGCTTTACGCACACATTGTCAAGCATTTTTTAACTCTAGTCACAAAGGCACAAAATGCTTGTGGTAATAAAGAGGTTAAATGGCTTTCCCTCCTTTTTTTTTCCCTTCAGTTTTTGGAAAAAACCCCCTTCAGATGCAAAGCCCCCCCCCCCCCATTTATTACAGAGAACAGTTACCACTGTGTTCACGCTGCGCTGCACCTGCATTATATAAGCCATTCATAAACCTGCGGTGTCCCACACAGTGTTCTCTGCATACCACTGCAGAGAACACTATGTGACTTGTGGAAAAGCCAGTCACATGACTTTGACAGATCATATAACTAGGTTGTCCTGCCAACTTTCCTATTCATTGATTTAAATGGGACTTACTTATATACTGCACATTATTGTTCGTGCATGAACATGCATCTTAAAAGAGAAGTATTCGGAGAGTAAAATGTACTCTTCCCAATACTTAGAGCCGGCATTTGACACTGCAGGTTACATAGTTAAATAGTATTTGAGGTTGAATAAAGACACAAGTCCGTCAAGTCCAACCTATTGCGTGTATGCATTTATGGTTGAGCTGGTATGTGCGTGTATATGAGTCCATGTGTGATTTTGATCTTAGCAGTACCTGTACCCCTGTATGTTATGGTCTCCAGGGAAATCGTCCAAGAGTTTCTTGAATGATTCCACACTCTTAGCTGAAATCACTTCCTGTGGCAGAGAGTTCCAGACCCTAAACGCTCTAACTGAGAAGAACCCCTTGCGCCTCATGTGCTGACATTTTTGGTGGTGGCCCCTAGTCTTTGTTATGTGGCTAACCGTAAAGAGTTTGTTAATAATGTTGCTGTCACCATTTAACATTTTATGCAAGAAAATCATGTCCCCTTTAATCTCCTTACTTCCAAAGAGAACATATTTCAATTTTTAAAGGTATCACATGCTGGCTCTATAGATTGAGAGCTGAGCGATCACAAACTGCTGAGGTCTCAGCTCACGGTCTTTTCCCTGCAGAACGGTGACTTGTCAGTCACTGTTTCCCGCAGGGATTCCACCTGCCCTCTCAGCTGCTCCAGTGTTCATTGGACGGACAGACGGGGAGGGGCAGGCACAGCTGGCTCTGGTTCTAGAAGGGCAGAGCCAGTTGTCAATCAGGCAGCCGTGTGGATCCCCACAATATTGTCAGCATCCTTCCCAGGTGCAGCATGTCTCTGCACTGTCAGCAAATAGTGAGCAATAGCCCCCTAGATGCTGACTTTGGATCACAGGAGTACATTAGTAAATATACTCCTTTGAACCAAACTAAGACTAAAGTTGGCCCATAGTTCTTTTTTTTTAATTATTATAATACAGGATTTATATAGCGTCAACAGTTTGCGCAGCGCTTTACAATATAAGGAAGACATTACAATCACAATACAATTCAAGACAAGATGGTAGGAGGGCCCGGCCCGTGAAGGCTTACAATCTAAAAGCATGTTAGCCCAAATGAATAAGTTGCAAGGGTTAACTGCTTGTTTTATTCTAGGCCCTGGGTCTAAAATTAAAAAAGATATGCTCACCTGAACCATGGTCCCACGTAGCTGCTAGACCGGTCCCCACAGCCTCTCCGCTCTGGTGCCCTAATGACCTGTGAGTTATGTCTAATACGGTGTATTAGATGTGAGGACTCCGAGGGACATTCCACTGCTAGAGTGGAGGGGTAGAGAGGCGCCACAGGATCAAGGCTTGGGTTAGAATAGCTTCTTTATTCCATTCCCTAGAGAAGCATTTGCAGTTAACCAACCCTTGCAGTTCGCAGGTAGCCCCACTGCAAGGGTTCATTTTTAATTCTGCCCAGAGATCTTATTTAACTGAACAAGCTGAAGAGAGAAGCTGGTTGGTGGCCATGAACACCTGCTCCAGATTCTGTCTACTCCAGTTTTTACAAATTTACCCCATAGAATGTTTATTAATACATCAATAATTTCAGAATCATCAAGTTTTCTTGCCTCCGATACCGTCTTCCTATTTATGACTTTGCTTATTCTAACCCCTTCCCAACCGATGAAAGGATTATTCCGTTGCGATCGCTCAGTTCATTAATGACCGTGACGGAATAGTCCCATCATGCGGTACAATGAGTACTGGTCCATGGCGAGACCAGCGCTCATTGGGTTACGCTGCTGCTGGGTCCCTCGGGGTCTGAGGCAGACCCTCAATAGTCACAGTGATCGCTAATCGCAGTGAATACAGAGCTGTGACAGCCACCAAGCCGGATTGCAGCTCATGGTGTTGAGGAGCTGTGAGCTGGCTCAGTGTGTTACAAACTGATACAAAGTATCTCTGTGGAGAATATTGTATTCTCATCGGAAATACTAAGTATAAAAGCACCTGGAAATAAAAAAAATAACCCCTTAGTGCCTCCTAGTTAAGAAAAAAAAGGCTGCCGAAACATATCGGCCGAAAATGGCACTTTTGGCATAATGCCGAAAGTGCCATTTTCCTGCCGATACATCGGCGTATCCTTGCTTTCTTTCCTCCCCGCTGGGTGCTGCTCTGTGTCCCAGCGGGGAGGAGAGAAACTGTCACAGGCGGCTGAGCGCTGCGAGAGGAGAGCGATGTGAGCGGCCTGCGTCTCTCCTCCCACACCGCTCAGCCTCCTATCACGATGTGTGGGCGGAGACTGGCCACGCTGTCACAGGAGTCTGAGCTTTCCTCAGTGAACAGAAAAAGAGAGAGGACTTTGTGTCCTAAATCTCTTTTTCTATTTTAAAAGGGAAATATCAGGGGTCTTTTTAGACCCCTAATATTTCCTCGAAGCCCCTAAAAGTGATGTAAAAAAATATATATATAAAAAAATTAAAAAAGTTTATACAAATTAAATATTTGAAAAAAAAAAAAGGTTCCACAACCATCAAATCTCACAGAACTGGACAGTGCTATTCATCAGGCATGGCGTCAGATTCCTCGCATCACCTTTCAACATCTCGTGGAGTCAATGCCAAGAAGTATCGCCGCAGTATTGAAGGCAAAAGGGGGCCCAACGAAGTACTGATGGGGTGGTCATAATAATCTGGCCACTCAGTGTATGCATATGGTACATCAAACTAAAGAACATTTTATCCTTTAAAAGAAATGGTATATAGTACGTGTAGATTCAATGAATGATGATTTTGTGTTGAGCTACAGTGCACATTTTGTCGCACTACGTAGTGCAGGGAATTCGTAGCTGCTACATTGGGCTGTAACCAATCAAAAGCGGTGTTGATGTGACATAATTCCTTCCTTATATTTCTGTGCAAAAGTGACACTTCTGTAGCGCAACGTAGCGTGATCATGTCGCGCGACATTGAGCTACACCATTGAAGTCTATTGGGCCAAATCGCACTAAATCCGCAAAAAATAGGTCATGTTCAAACGACAAGCTTGAGTGACAAGCTACAGGCGATATTGAGGGCCGGTGCACACCTATACGACCCCCCACCGCCCGGCAATCGTGCACGATTCCGTATAGGTGTACACTGATCGCGCTGTGGATACCATTATTTTCCAATGGCACCCCAGTCGCTAAAACAGCCGCACATCGTGTATCGCAAAAAAAAGGTATTTGTACCTTTTTTCTGCGATACACGACGCGAGGCTGCCTTAGCCACGATCGTGTTCAGAAGCACGGGCGGAATTGTGGCGGGAAACCGCGCGATCCGCCCGGCGCGACTAGGGTGCCATAGGAAAACAATGGCACCCACAGCATGATCAGTGCACACCTATATGACTCCTGACCGCGCGGTGGGGGGTCGCATAGGTGTGCACTGGCCCTGAGCTGTGAGATGTCAACAGCTTCATTGAAATGCATTGGACAAGCTATATTGAGCGACACTGAGCTGATATTGGAGCGATTTTTGAGCTGGAATTGCATGACAAATCGCCCATTGTGAATGGGGGTCTAAGGGGTCAAATCTATGCAGGCTTATAATAACTTTATTATTATTATTCAACTAGCTCTCAGCTCTGTTTATGATTACAAACAGAATATAAACAAAAACCCTGAAAACATAACTGATAGACCTCTGAGTCATATCAGTACAGGCAGGGAAGAGAAGTGTGCACAGATCAGGGAGGACGATGAAGGGATCATGTAAAGACATGTAATAATAGAGTGTAAATGATAAAGACTACGACTTCCAGCATGAACAGCGGCTCAGGACACACCCTCTTTGTGCGATCAGCCAATAGAAGGCTCGGTGTGAACACAACAGGAAAGAGAGTGTTATGTAAAGTGTTATGTATGAGTGGCATGCTCAGCACAGATCGGGGATGTGATTGGTAATGTGGTAGGTGATAAAGACATGATGTGTGGTGAAGCTGTGTGTGGAGGAGAGAGCTGTCCACTTCCATAACATCACAGGGAGGAGGAGGTTGCACATGGGTCACACGGGGCTCCTGGCATGTTCAGTCTCTGTAGTGATTATCTGATCTGATTGATCTCTGTGTACTCAGGCTGAAGTCCGGATGGTTTCTATGTGCTGCTGCTACTGCTGCTTTGCACAATTTGGTATTACCAGTGGTAGTGATAATACTAATTTGGACATCAAAAAGAAAAATGTATTGTGCCAAATCGAAAAATGACAGCCCAGTGATGAAAGAGTTATACAACTAAAGTATTTCAGGAATTAACTCTTAAAAATACATTTAGGTACCTTTTAACTTATAACAAAAATGTATCTTATTTGTGTATCACTCAGCTGTAGATCCTCAAATCATCTCTGAATTGGTGCTGACACTGTCCTTCCTTCTGGAGGGGGGCTACTTTTGTTCCCCATGGTCCCTTTATGTGTTGTAAAGTAGTCACCGCTCCAAGCTCGCTTCCGTGATGGACTAAAATCTCACATTTAGTTTACTAATTTGTATTGAGATTGTAGTCCATCACAGGAGCGAGCTTGGAGCAGTGACTACTTTATAACACACACAAAGAAATAAAAAAGGTGCACTGCCAGGCCAGTAGAAAATTAACTGGATGCTTATACACAAATAATGTGTTTCATAATGCAGTGCATAGACTAAATGAGTTCTGAGGGCCCATTTTCACATCTCCAGTGTGGTGCCTTTTTCAGTGGAACCCCAACACACCTTAACGCACAAGCATTGCAGTGCACCAAAACACACCTTAATGCATTGCAGTGCACCAAAACACACCTTAATGCATTGCATTGTGCACTGTGTAGGAACAAATTGTGTATTCTGGTGCATTGCCATCCAATTTAATGGTGTGCTTAACACAATGCATGTTAATGCGCAACATCATCCACACATTAACACACCGGGGAGGACTGAATGGGCTCTAAGTGTATGGGGGATATGATTTCAAAGCAGAATTCCAGGTAGAGCTGCAGCTAACGATTATTTTCAAAATAAGGCGCACAGCGTGTGTGGAGCCGTGAACAGGGCCAACTGATCGGAAGCCGATTAATCGATTATTGAAAAAGTTGACAACTTTTTCAATAATCGATTATAATCGATTATGTCGATTAGTTGTTGCAGCCCTAATTCCAGGCAAATAAATTCTGAACCCTTGCAGTGGTGTACCCCCGTACTCCAAGGGTTAAGTGCTCAATTTGTCCAGGGAGCTAAAATTAAATTATACTCCCCCAAACCACAAGCCAGGCTGGCTCTTGCACAACTCCCTCCAACCTGTCTTCTCCTTTGTTCCAGCTATGGAATGTCCTTCGGTGTCCTCACATCCTGTACACTTTATAGAATGTGATGACTCACAGAGCCTTAGACCACTGGAGTGGAGTGGGAGCGAATCTGAAAGGAACGGTCTAAAGGTGGCCATACACTTTACAACCATCGCAAGACCTTAGTCTTGCGATGGTTGTAAAGTAATTTAAAAAAACGTACAATCTTCCCATCTTGGACAGGCAGATCGTACTTGCGAGGGGCAGGCTTGCGATGACCGCAATGCTGAACGGGCAGTGTCGGCATTTGTCTCCCCCGAGCATCATTCAAACCAGCCGAAAATCGTAAGATTTTCGGCTGGTTTTCTAGCGTGCTCCTTAGACAAAAGATGTGCGACCGTACAGTAGAAACGGTCGCACGTCTTCATTCAAACTGCACGATTCTCGTACGAGAATCATGCAGTGTATGGGCACCTTCAGAGCCATTGTAAGAAGATGTCACCAGCACGCCAGAGTACTTCACCAAGTGTTCATTTATTGACACACCATGTCATAAACAAGCGCTTTCAGGCGCCACACAAGGTCCCTTCATCATGCTTAGGTCTAAAGGTTCCCATACACCTTACGATTATCGTACAAAACATTTCGTCCGATGATCGAACCGTCGTACGATTGTCGTACTGCGGCCCCCTTCCTGCCCTGATTATCGCAAGGTTTAATCAGCGGTAGTTTAAAAAAACGCCTGGATGAATTGCGGTAATCGACCGCACGTATTTTCGTTTGCGCATGAGCAGTGTTAATCGTACGACTTTTTTGACGTACGGAAACGCCACCAAACTTGCGAAAATTGTACGATCAACTGAAGTTTCCGAACATGCAGGAAAGACAAAAGTCGTGCGATGGTACAGTACTGGCGGTTGCACACTACCCATACACCTTACGATTGTCGTACAATAATCGTAAGGTGTATGGGCAACTTAAAAGAGCCAGTCGAGATTGTGGTTCGGGTGAGTATAACTCTGTTGTTTTAATTCCCTAGACAAAAAAAGCATTTAACCCTTGCAGTGCATGGGGTAGCCCCACAACAAGGATTAAGATTTGATTTGCCCCGAGTTCTTCTTTAAACAGTTTCCACTGTCTGTAGAACTATTGCAACATGCAAAAAAAAAAAAATTGATCATCCTAATTTCAGAGACCAGCCTTTTCTGCGCACAAGCATGCCTTATACAGAAAGCCAAACTTTCTCAGCAGAGTCAGAATTTTGTTGGACCAGAACGATTATTATGTAGGCAGCCAACCACTGTCATTTGTTTATGAACCTGCATGATTATATATTATGTTTTGAATTGTAGTGTTTGAAGAAATCGGTTGTTACATCAATTTCCTGCTACATCGGACACATTTGCCTTCTTGGCTTCCTGTAGATCTGTCTTGCTGCTTCCAGCCAATCAGGTAAGATGTTAAAGGTACATTGCTAACGTTTAGTTTGGTAAAGTATTTCAGGGACATTGAGGAAGCAATCTTCAAAGAATAACCCTAGAGCAGCGGTGGGCAACTATGGACCTCCAGCTGTGGTGTAACTACAAATCTCAACGTGAGTCTGCCTCTGGGAGTCATGCCTATAGCTGTCAATCTTGCAATGTCTCATGGGACTTGTAGTTCCACAACAGCTGGAGGGCCGGAGCTGCCCACCCCTGCCCTAGAGTGATTCCAGTATGAATTGTATAGACCAGGGTGACCAGAAAGACTCATTGCTCCCTGTCCTGACCCACCTTCAGCTAAAATCATTTTCCCCTGTTATAGTTGGTGTGACATGCTCCTTTAATAAATGTCTAGTGAGGACAATGTACAAATAAAGCAAAAAGGTGACCCACATGACTAATTTCTCCCTGTCCTGACCCACCTCCAGCTAGAAACATTTTTTTTCCCTCTGCTAATAGGTGAGACATGTTTTTTTTATAAATGTTCAGTGATGACAATGTTCAAATATAAAGAAAACATGACCCACATGGCAAGGTCCATGCATTGCATGTCAACAGTGCCAATGAAATACCCTTAAGCGTTTTTACACTGCAGTGCTTAAAGTGAAACTAAACTCAGAAGTTCTATCTTAAAAATGTATTTAAGTAACTTAACTATTAACAAAAATGTGTCTTTTTTTGTGTATCACACGGCTGTAGATCCTCATTCATCTCTGAATTTGTGCTGACACTGTCCTTCCTTCTGGAGAGTGGTTACTTTTCTTCCCCATGGTCCCTGTGTGTGTAGTTTACTAATTTGTATTGGAGTTTTAGTCTGTCACAGGGATTTGAAGATCTGCAGCCGAGTGACACACAAATAAGATACTTTTTAAGATTTAGTGTCACTTTAAACATAAGAGCTCATTCACATGGGCGTGAATGGGCATACACCATATACAACTGAAATTTCTGCACCATGGGGGGACAGGTGTTAACTTACAGCTGTGGGCAGCAGCCTGTACAAATCAATAACAGGCTGCATCTGTACACATATACTCGCACATCCAAGGATTTACATCCATACAGGAATAGATATGTGGCTCTGGACACGAGCTGTCTGCCTCCAATACCTTTTCTTCATCTCTGTATGGATGTAAACGTTCAGATGTGGAGGTATATGTTTCATTGATGCACACAGGCAGCTGTACGCAACTCCGGTCTGTCTTAAGTACAGCAATCCACATAAAAGCCTCATTCACATGGGGTGTGTTGCTCCATACAGCATGAAGGGCTGGTTATTGGTTTGTCCGGAGCTGTGGAAAGAAGCGTTGTGGGCAGCTCAATTAACTGTAAGTAGACACAGAAGCTGTGCACCCTCACACGCTGCTTTTTGACAGCTGCACACAGACCTGGATGCATCATGTCTGCTGCGTCCAGGGCCTTACTGTGTGTGTGCAAACTGTGAGCCGCAGAAAGCAGTGTGTGAGGGTGCACAGCTCCTGTGTCTCTATAGAATTTAATAAGTTGCCCCCAGGCTTCTTCCACACAGATGTGGGTGCATCAACAGCCAGCCCTTCAGAGTGCACAGAGCAACACTCCCATCTGAACGAGGCTATTAAGTTATTCTTAAAGCAGAACTCCAGGATGTGCAAAAATGTACCCTTACAGTGGGGCTACCCCTGCACTGCAAGGATTAACTGCTTGCTTTGGTTTAGGGGCCGGAATAAAGAAAATATACTCACCTGATCCTCGGTCCTGCAACAGTCGGCACTCGTGTCTCTCGCCCTTCTGGCTGTGGTATGTCCGTCGGCATCCTCACGTCTAACGTAAGTAAATTAACTTGCATTAGATGTGATGACGTCACGGGTCCTTAGACCACTGGAGTCTGGGGTAGAAGAGGCTGCAGGGACCGGTGTAGCAGACAGGCAGGATCGAGGATCAGGTAAGTATATGTTCTTTAATTCATCCACTAGACCAAAACGAGCAGTTAACCCTTGCAGTTTGGGGGTAGCCCCACTGCAAGGATTAATTTTTCCACATCCTGGAGTTCTGCTTTAAAGGTATATCCTATTTCAGTAACAAAAACATTCAAACCTCTTTCATGAGTCAGTAAAACTTCTTTCCCCACCTATTCAGAAGACTAGAATTCCATATTTTAATACATGTATATGTAATCCAGGTCCCGAGCTCCGTCTTGCCGGTCTTTTTGTAAACAGGTTTTGTGCCGGGCTACGCTTTGCGGGCAAGGTGGAAAAATCCGCAGTCAGTAAAAATCTGGAAGTGCCATTCAGCTGCCCAGACTACACCATCAGTGCTGAATCTAGGGGAAAGGAAGTCAAACTGAACCTCTCCCCAGCGTCAGATAAACACGATGCAGCCTGCATAGTTCTCAGGTTCGGCATGTCGGGAAGCTTTAAATTCACTGCAGAGGATGACCTTCCCAAACATGCTCACCTGCGCTTCTACACCAAAGATTTCCCACGACGCGTTCTCAGCTTTGTGGATCCACGCCGATTTGGAAGCTGGGAGTTCAATGGCTCGTGGCAGCCGGAACGTGGCCCTTGCGTAATGACGGAGTATGAAAAGTTCAGGTGAATATAAGTGATTTGTGGAACTGCAGGATTCTGATAGGTTTCCATGAGTTACATGTGGTAATATTCCCTCAGCTTGCATAGATTTTGTTGTAATAATATTACATTGTTATAGTAAATGGTGCTGAGGCAGAACTACAACCAGAGTAATGCATATAGCTGCGGCGGGTTCCTAAAGAGAAACCTTACCCACCTATTTAATGTCTCCAAAAACAGTACAACTGCATGGCGCCGTGATGTGCCTATAGAACTTAATGAAATGTCACTTGTGAAAAGGAAACCATGCAATCCTTTGTTATCAAGCACATCAGCACTGTGCCAAGCACACGCACGCCAGCAGCCATGCAGTGTACCATGGCTGCTGCTGTGAATGGGCCCTTAAAGGAGAACTATGAGGTGAGTGCTTTTCACTCATCTCATAGTTCTAGCCGACCTGTGACAATGAGACTGTCACAGGTCGGCTCAGTAGATCGGGAGGTGAGCGAACACATACCGGTGTTCGCTCACCTCTCGATCCTGTCACGGCTCTCTGCCGTGACAGGGGAGGGGCTGTATTCCCCCCTCCCCGCTCCGATCCACCAGCGCTGACTGGCGGAACGGACAGGGGAGGGGGTGGGTACAGCTGGCTCTGCCTCTAGATAGGCAGAGCCAGCTGTCAGTCACGCAGCTGGGCGGATCCCGGCATAATTGTCGGGATCCGCTTCAGCTGTGGCGTCTCAGTATACCGCGAGCAGCAGCTTGCGGTATACTGCGGCGTCTATGTATACCACGAGCTACAGCTCGCGGTATACTGAGCCTAGGGTGACAGGTGGACGCTAGTTTGTGTCCTCCCGTTACCCTAAGGAGAACTATGGGGAAAAGCCTTAACCCCATAGTTCTCCTTTTAAGCCATGCCAACTGTCAGGACTCAGAAACTGAACTTTCAAGCCCTCAAATGGCTGGTGTCATAGCTGATCTACATGTGCAGCACCACAGCAATTGCAACCCGAATAGTGGTTAAGATGGCACAGACTGTGTGCACATTTAACTAGACAGAGATGAAAAAGGAAACAATAATTCTAAATGGCTGCTAAGGACAACAACTCCGAATTTTGTTTACTTTGAATGAATACGCTCCTTTGTCTAGAAAAATCAGATTCATTGTGAACGTCTGATTCAGATATCTGATATGTCATGCTTGGAGGCTGCAGCATTTGGTTTGCTAAAGCCGTTCATACACTGGTAGATTTTTGTGGGAACATTCATATGAAAAATCTCGTCAGAACATTCCATAATGCCATCAGAGACTTGACAAATGTTTACAAATTTCATTTGATTTTGGAATGAATGGAGTTTCTCGTACAAAAACCCCATTCACTGTTAAAATGTAATTTATTCAAGAAACATTTTTTTATCCTGCTCATTCGATTTCAGCCATAGTGACGAAAAAAATTCAATCTTCGGATTGATCATTAACTGTTAGAAAATCGAATGAATATTCCGAAAACAAATTTTGGCAAACAAAATTGTAGTGGTGTATATCCAGCTTAATTGTGCACACAGTCTGATGAATAGTGTTTTAGACATCTATCTCTTGGTAGTGTAATGGATTATGCAAGAGACACATGCACATGTCTGAACGATGTATCTGAATCTGTCGCAACTCTGACTGAATACACCCAGCACACCTGTAAAGTGGGGGACTTTTACAAGTGGGATAGAATTTCAGAAAACCACAGAGAGGCATAGAATGCTACCAAATTATACCATATATACAAATCCAAAGACGTCCTAGAGGCACTCATGGGTCTTGCAGTGGAGAGAAGTCAGAACATCAGCATTTTATTGTCAAATAGACTGTATTGCTGAGCAATGTGTCTGAATGCGACATGTTTCTGTTCAGATATATTGCATTGCACTGCTCTTAGCAAAACATCCAATTGCCTATTCACACAGATAGACTGTTCCTTGAATGGGCAATGAACTATAAAAGCTGTGGGTGGAAAGGGCTACTCCCAGCTGCAGTGCAGTGAGATGCAGGCAGAGCACGAATGTCCTCTTTCAGGACCTTGCCTTAATATACTATGAAGGGAATGTATCAAAACTGGAGCAGACAAAATCTTTAGCCGCTGTCCATGGCAACCAATCGGCTTCTCACTTTCATTTTTAAATCTTAACTGAATAAACTGAAGAGAGAAGCTGATTGGTTACCATGCACAGCTGCTCCAGTTTTGATAAATTCCACTCTGTATGTTTAGCACAGGGGTGGGACACTGCTGCCCTCCAGCTGTGCTTTAACTACAAATCCCAACATGCTTCTTTCTTTCGGAGTCATGCCTGTAACTGTCAGTCTTGCAATGCCTCATGGAACTTGTAGTTCCACAACAGCTGGAGTTGCCCACCCCTGGTCTAGTGTATGTGTATGTACTGTAATTAATTTTTGCCAATTTCACTCCAGGGAGAACGTTTTGAAAAACTTGTCTGAAAAAGCATTTGACAAACCAATATGTGAAGCTTTGCTGAACCAGAAATATTTCAATGGCATTGGCAATTATTTGCGGGCAGAGATCCTGTATCGGTAAGCACTTTTAGGTTTACTGTACTGAGATATAGATGGTTATATTGACATAGCTAAGTTAACTGAATGAACATGAAACTGCCAACTCTTCAAAAGTATAGTAAAATAGAATCAAGGGAATCTAGGAATGCAGATTTTCATTTGCATTCATCTGTTTAGTGATTATTTTGAGTTTGGTGATTCTTTTTTTTCTTCGTCAGGTTGCACATTCCGCCATTCACGCCTGCTCGTGAAGTCCTGGAAGATGTGAAGCATCAGAATCAGGTTAGAAGAAATGATGATACAACAAAAAGATATACTTGGTGTTGATGCTAATATTTGAACTTGTGTTTGGTTGTATATGCTGAGAATGGGTCTGTCCTGTTTCCACAGAATAGTGACCTTTCGCTCAGCAAGAAAATAAAGATTAAGAAGGAAAATCCAGACCTTTTACAGCTCTGCCACTTGGTTCCATTGGAGGTCATTGATCTGGGTATGAGGAGACTCACAGCCTTATCCAATAACAATCTGCAGAGTGGTAAAGCGTCATTGCAGACCACTAACATGTTGCATGCCTGAGTGCACAGCAGAACTTCCTGCCATGTCTGCTTGTTCCAGATAATGAGCATTGCCATTATCATGGTTTCAAACCTAACAGCAACTTGCAGTAAACCTGTACCTAACCCAAATCAACAGGTTCAGATTGCTGCTGCCCCC